AGGCAAAGTAGGCGAACGCAGAAGCAGATGCACGCCTTGATGAACCATCTAAGCGAAGCGGAAGCCAAAATAAACGAGATTCAAGACCGTTGCTAAGGAAGTAAGTGACGAAACTGGACAGCCTGCTCCAGGGGTTGATTCATATTGATATGGCGTTGAATACGGAGGCGGCGCTGTATTAAGATCAGGTAGATGGTCGTACGGGAAATTTGCAAGCGAGGGATGTTAGGCAAGGGAGCTCTGTTAGAAACTGGGGTGACTGTGGACTAGTGTCTAGAGCTGGACCAGTGATTTGATGCGCCGGGTGGCTGCGTTCATCTGCATGCACATGAGGATCGACATGAGAACTAGGCGTAGTTAGCAAGGCTGTCAATCTTACTCTATCTTTTACGTTCTGATACTCAAGTGCGTGAAAGCGCTGCCGATCAGGCATTAACAGGTTATGAGCCCAAATGACCAAAATCACTGACGAGGATAGCGACGACACTGCGTCAGCGAAGCCGACCGCTGCACCTGCGACCTGTTACGAAAGATTTGGTACAGTGGACGACACAGATGAGAAGAGGGCCGACGTCGACCACGAAAACGATGTCGACACCGTCGCTGGTGCTAATGCACTACGTCCCGAGAACACGACCAAAGTATTGGTCGCCCTGATTCAAAGCATGGCCAAGCCCATGGCGTACGAGAAGCGGTCGGAATCCCATCAGAAGATGCGTAACTAGCAGGAGGCGGATGCGTAGATGGGTGGCTCGCAGCGTGTGAGCTCGCCCCGTATGAACTGTGGCCTCTTTTCGTTGGGATTCGGGCGTGGGTCAAGGATGCACATTGTTTCGCTCGGAATATTGCCGAAGACACCAGTCCGGCAAGATCGGCGGGACCGCCGCAGTACTTCGCACAGCACCAGGCTGCGAATGAGATGCCATTGTCACATCTACAACGACTATACAACGCGGCACAAGCGGAGCAAGCGGCTGCGGCATAAGTGAAGGAAGGTCTTAGATGACAGGGAGATCAGATGCACGACGCACCAGCGGGCCTCCAGAAACAGCAACACCAAGTGATGGTTTACCCAGATTCGCGACTGAAGAAACTGACGATTCGCCCTTTCTATGACAAGGTGCTGTACGTGGGGCTGGGCTCAGGCTTTCTGGAACGGACCTTTCGAGCTCCCGGTGAATATCGCGCAGTCTGCTTCTGAATTCCTGTGGCCAAAAGACGTGAAAGTGGGTCGGTTTGGACACTACATGGTAGGGGCTGCCGAAAGATACTTCAAAAAGCATGTAGATACTTGGTGGGTGCAGTTACCCACGTTTCCGTTCATCCAGGAGAAGATGTTGGAACCGGTCAAGACGCCTATTACGCCCGTACAGGCGATGAAGCTATTTACGCAGCCCAAAGACCCGAGACGCTCGTGACCAGAACACTACATGTTCCATCTTCGAGACGCCTGGAAACAGCGCTGGGTACTTGGTCCTGAATAGCATTGTACTGTACGCGTCTATGGACCTGCGTACGATGGTTATGGCTAAGACGACTGGATCAAGGACGGACTACCTGCAACACGCAGAGGAGCCCGCTCATTTTGCATAGTCCCGGGAGATCAAGACGGGAAAGGACAACAATATTTGGTGTGAAGTGGTAAAAACGGTGGGCGAACGGCGGAAGGAGACGCGCTAGTGTCATCACTACGGTGAGGTTGGCCATCTACGTGCGGCCTGCCCAATAAAGAACAAGGAGCCGGACATCACGTTGGCGGTGAGCGAGACGTCGAATGCGGCCGACGAGATCTGGAGCTTGAATAGCGGCTCGAGTCGGTGCCTGGTGAAGAACACGTCCTGGCACGAGTCTTGGCTTGAGGACGTGGAGTAGTGTGACGACCAGGGCGAACAGCCAAACGGCGAGCCACGCTCGACCAGCATGACGGGCTCAGTGACTCTGCACAATTTGATCTCGTACAGTCAGCAGGACAAGAAGGGCTACCCACATACCCAAAGAGGCGGCCGACGCGACGGTGCCGTAAAGGACGGAGGAAACGTGCCTTTCGACAACGAGTTGCATCGAAACATGCTGGTGGCAACCGGAAGAGCGGAGAGGGGGTGGGGGCCCTCGTCCGAGGTGGTTTGGCTGTCCTTGAGGAGGAGACAAATGGGTCGGGCAACGTGTCGTGTCGAGCAACGTGCAGCAAGGAGCACTGGTGGATTTCCATCATAGGCTCGGACACTGAAACTACAATGCCGTGAAGCGCCTCGCAAAAGGTCCAAGCTCGGGTGTCAAGCGCACGGACCGCAGACGAGTGAACGGTTTGACCTGTGCGCAGGGAAAACAGGCTTAGAACAGGTAACCTGGAAAGGATACGGGTGATCACTCGTCAATCCATGGCGTTGGAGGCGTAATTTGCTCAAACATAAAGTGCCCAAATACCCAACGCGATCGACTGAACAATCAGTATATGATCAATTTTGTTGATCATAAGAGCAAACACGGCAGTATCGTTTTAGCGAAGACGAATGCCGCGGCAGTCAAGCAGTTTGAACATTTCCTCGCGCTCTTCCAAAAGCGTTTCGACTGTAAAATACAGGTGTGGAAAGCCGATTCGGAAGCCTAATATCAAATGTGGACTTGTTCTGCAAGAAGACGGGGTGGCGCGGTAGCGCAGCGAGACTAAGTACAAGGCGAGCAATGGAAAAGCTGAGCGGATCCTAGGTCCACAATGAAAATGGCTCGGTGGATGGTTTTTGCCTGCGATCTTCCTTTGCGTTTCTGGGACGACGCGGTCCAGTATGCATCACACATCCTTAATAGATCGCCGACGAAGTCGAATACTAGACGGGCTTCGCCGGAGAATATGCTCGAGCAGAAGGCGCCGTCGCTCGGTGAGACTGTACCATATACGGTTTACAGAGATCCTCGTAGCAAGAATGTCTTCTTGTACGGTTTACAGCGGAACAAGAATTTCACGCAGCGGGCGCAGCAAGGAGCGGTTGTCGGCATCGGGAAGGAGGCCAAGTGGTACATAGTGTACCTCCCAAACAAAGCAACACGTTACAATTATCGAGACCCTGAACAAGAAACAGAACGAGCAAGTGCAGAAGCTATATATATTAGGATGGGGATAAGAGAGGTCCGGACGCGTCCGCGGACGGCACTGAGATTGCAGCTGTGGCGGAAAGCGCTTGTAGTAAGACCGAGCGCGGGATTAAAGGAAAGAAGCGTGTGAAGAAGGGGTGGCGGCGCGACAGACACGCTACGCTCTCGGTAGCGTAAGCGTGCGGAAGAAGCGGACGAGTCTGCTCAGTAGGAGGCGACACCGGACAGTGTCGGGAAGAGCATAGTAGAAGTGGACCCCAAGCGCTATGGAGAGGCTATGCGTAGACAGCAACCTGAGCAGTGAGGGAAGGCCACGGAAGAAGAGCTGAGAGCTCTGAAAATGAACGGGGGTGGAAGGTGGTGCGAGTGCCTCGAGGGGTACGTATACCTCATACCGAGTTACCGAGGGAGTGTATAAGCCCAAGCGAGAAGCTGAGGAAGCAATCGAGCGCCTGAAGGCGCGGCTCGTGGTCTGTGGGAACGAGCAGAGATTCAGGATCAACTACAGCATCACGTTCGCCGCTGTAATGGACGTGGGAGGTGTCAGGACAATACTTTGCTTCGCGAGGGAGTGGCGCGTACCTGCGAAGCATGGGTACGTGCCCAACGCATATGAAAAAACGGACAAGGATGCGGAGCTGGCCATTTACATCTAAGTGTCGCAGAGCTGATGATCTGTGAGGAGATCAAGCGCAGGCTTGCCGTCGCGAGCGACAAGGAACTAGTGCCGGAGCTGCAGAAGGCATCATGCCGGCTCAAACAAACCGGCCGGCTGTGGAGAAACTGCTACATCGGAAAGTGGTGAGCGTCTGGGATGATCAAAGCCTGCCTCATATGTGTGTATTCTACCGCTGGCGCAACGGAGTACTAGTTGTAGTGAATGTCGATGTAGATGACCTGCTAGGCACGGGTACGGAAGCGGGAGCTATGGATGCGCTCTTCCGCGAGCTCACGGACCTGTCTGTGAAGGATATTGAAGTGGCAAGCAAGTTCCTGGGCATGCGCGTGGCGTACGATGGGGACGCCGGTTATCGCCTGGATCAGGGAGTAATGATAAGTGACATGCTGTAGAAAAAAAAAAAAAGGGGCTCGGCGTGGGGGCTGCACATGCGGTTCGCATGCCAATGGGACATGAAGGAAATGACGAGGATGCCACTGAGGCATCGCCTGTGGCAGAAGGAGATTATGATGATGTTTAAGTCGTTGGTGGGGAGCTTGGTGTTGGTGGCGCGCTGCACGCGTTCCGACATCGCTTTCGCTGTTCACAAGGCGTCGCGCAAGATGCACAACCCGTCCGTCGTAGACAAATAGCTGGCGAAACGAATTATTTGCTAGCTGGCCGAAGGAGCTGCGGCTGCAGATGAAGGAAACGAAGGGACGGGACGAGGCATTTGCGGCTGTTGTGGCTTACAGCGATGCCAATTTTACAGCGGGCAAGGGAGCCACAACGTCCGTTATGGGTGGTCTGGTGACGTTGGATGACATGCCGGTGAGCTGGGTGTGTAAGAAGCAAGAGGGGAGGGGTCCTTTTTACGATGGGACCTGAGTTTACACCAGCCTCTGTGATGACGACGGAAGTGCTCAGGGTGCGAGAACGTTTTGGAGAGCTTAGGGTGAAGCACGTGGAGCCATTACCGTTGCCAGTGAGCAATTAGGCTGCCCTAAAGCAGCTCGATGGAAATACAGCGTCAACAAAGGCAACGCACGTTGATGTGCAAATCGAGTTCGTGGCTTGTACACTCGGGGAGGTGAACGGTTCGATTAACCGGTTCGGAGGACCGAGAAAGGCGAACCGGCTGTTTCCGATTTGGGGAGAACCACGGCATTCGTGGTTTCATCGAAGAAGAACGCAGACGAGCACGGTGCTCAGGACTCGGAGTCCTCTCGGAGAAGAACGGGCCCGGCCCAACATGACAGCAAACCCGCCGACGTCTCTCACGATGGGCTCGAGTCTCCGCAACCAGGTTGTACGATTGGAATGCCCTTCGGAGCTGGAAGAAGGCGAATGAGACGGTCCCATCTACGCCCGCCTATTGGAACCAAGACATATCAAGCCAGGACACCCGAGTGTGTTCGTGGTGGACGATTCTTCTCGCCACCCCGGCTGGCTGTGTAAGCTTATCTTCTACGGCTCCGCGTATGACAGGAACATGACAGGCTTGGGTTCGCTCGAAGCTCTAGCTACAGACCCGGTGGTCATCCCGTATTCGCGGCTTACTCGACCCGATACCGACTTAAGTATGGAGCTCAAGGACCGTCCCCTCCTCCTCCTGTATCGATTCGTTCGGTTCAATGCCTGTTATCTCCAATGCGACCGTCGCTCCTACCGCGAGGTCCCGCTCGATTCCTTCCTCGTTGGCTAAGTCGTTAGTTACTTCCCAACTCACGGACGAACGTTTACTACACCGGCTGGCGCCGCGCTTCAGCCGGCGTGTGACCACATGTGTGTGGTGGCTCTCCGGAGCCGCGCCGACGCGCCCACGCTCCACGTTGTCGTGCCCAGCGCCACCGTGTGGCAGCAGCAGATTTCCCGCGATGAATTTGTTGTAGGCTGGTGTCATGGCGTCGCTGCCACAGCTCAACCGACACGCAGGCTATCCCGATTTCGTTCTCAATGGATTGAGCTCGTTATACCTACGGACACTGATTGCGATATTGGGAAGTTGCTCGTGGACACTTTCGTCCCAGCAGTATCGGACTCCACCATGGACCTGACATCTGAGAATCTCAGAATCATTTCTGAGTACGGACGCATTATCGACGCTAACCCGATTGACTATGCTCGCCGATACGTCGGCCCGGCCCGACCTTCTACCCGAATGAACGAAGATGTGGAGAATGACTCAGAGTCCCCGTCGGACGTCCTCGCTATCGGCCTATCTCGTGGCAAGGCACTGGACGGCCGGCAACCGGATATTGTCCGATACGAAGACTGTCGGTCAGTCGAGCAGTTTCTCTGGCGCCAACCGACGCCTGCGGTTACGCATCCGGCCGAGCCGGACCCTTCGGCCGTGCCGAACACTGACGCTTCTACACCCGCGCTGGTTTCATCATCTGTTTCGCAACCGCCGCCCCCAGCTGAGGCCGTGCCCTCAACCTTATCAAACGTGCCCACTACGAATTCTGCCATGCCAGAGAACGTGTTCGCCGCGATTGCCGAACTAGCCCGAACTACCCAAGCGGCGCTTACACAACAGGCCGCCGCTCAACAGTCGTTCCAAGAGCAGCTTCTACGTCGCTTATCGTCGTCCACCGGGACTGATTCTCGCGATCATCAGCACGGTGCTGCCGTGCCTCCAGCGGCTGGGGCACCATCCGGCAGTCTACCGAACGACCACCGTGGTCGAAATTCCCGAGAGCGCCGTGCTCACTGCGGGCGAAGCTCAAGCCCTCCGCCTAGACCACGCCATACACGCGAGTGGTCCCGGAGCCGGTCTCGCGACCGCCCCCGCTACAGCGGGCGCAGCAGATCTCGCGATCGCAAGGGCGCGGGCCATGGTGGCCAACAACTCCTTCACCGTCCGTTACAGCAGCAACACGTCGCCGCCACTGACGCACGTGCGTACGGGCGTTGGGACGACGCCAGCTACGGACATTCCCGTCCTTCAGAGGTCATCCACCGGGACGACCGATACGACCATTACTTAGGAAACTCTCACGACCACGGCGCATCTGGGCCTTACGATCACTCGCATCGACACTCGAATTATGGCTACGGCAGCCCTCGGACGGCTTCAGGCGGGTACACATCCGGGACGCCTGCCCTCAGCCAGTTCGGGTTTGGACCTGGAACCGATTACCGTCATTCTGGCGGCGGCTTCCACCCCCGTGATTCCGGACGCCAAGACTTGACGCTGGAACTAGCTGGAACTACTGGATTTCGACCGTCCCCCGCGGAACTTAGGGCTCACAGGACCGCGCGCGTTGGGCCCCGTCCGAATAATGAGTTTATTGAGTCTAATCTTGTTTCGTTTTGGCAGCTGTCAGCTTTAGACCGGGTCTCTACTATTCTTCATGAGGAGACACGACGCGGGCAATATCGTGTTACCAAGGTCACAGCCAAGATGGTGTTTGCGGTGGACTTCGGAACACGGCCGATCGACCACTTCCTCCCGCCCAGTGCCCACGGCGACGGCGGCCGTACCGTGGTGCACGACTCGTCCACATGGACATCAGGCGATTCTGTACCGGGTGGACTCATCACGTCGATGGACGACCTACGGGCAACACTACAATGCATTCGAGAAGTGGCTACTGAGTGGTACCCACGCGAAAATGTGGACGTCTTCGCTGCAGTCTGTGCTGATGCCACATCACGGGTGCTCAACAATGCTCCCACCGGACTAGTTCACGCTATGATTAACCTCTACACTCATGTGTTTTCGAGACTGTTCATCGCCATTAGCCAAAACGCCGACCCTGCGTCACTGGTGGAACAAGCGCGGTCAGTCATGGCTTCTGACTCGCCGGATTACCTCCGGCTCGTACGCCAAGTTATCGACCACGGTCTAATCTCGAGTTGGGCGCAGTCCCAACGTTCCTCTTCCCACCGCAGCAACACTACCGCGTACGGTCCATCAACCAGGCCTTCCGCCCACTCGGGCTCTCACCGCGAGTCCCGTCAAACCCGCCAACAAGTTTCTCCGGTTCCGGAAGCGATTCTGCAGCAAATTCCCAAGCGCAACAACAAAACGGTCTGCCTCAAGTTCCAAACCCAACGGGGCTGCGAATTCCGGAGCTGCAAGTACGCCCATGACCTCGAACAACTCCCGGAGGAGGTGGTGACATACGCCACCGGCAAGTATGGGCCTCTGGCATCAGGCCATCCCAACTTGTCGGCTTGACGCCTCGGAGGCGGAGAGCAGGTCGTAAGCACGGCTCACAACACGACTTTGACACCTGCTTATGTCTTTCGTCCGCCTCTAACTATTCCCTTCCAACCGATATCGGACGTTGGACGGGCCTCCTCTGAACCGTCGGTCCCGGGGACCTTTACGGGTGTCTCCGTTGTCAGCCCTAATTACGGAGACACTATCACGCTTTCGTTTGACGGGGGAGCTCGGAGCTTAACACACGTTAGCGCCTATGCGTGGTGTGCTTGGTCGAAACCAGGAAAACCACTTTGGTGGTCAGCTTCATCCGTAGTTCCCGGTGGAACAAACAATGTTATGGAAGCGCGTGCACTATTATCGGGCCTCCACTGGCTTCGGCAACATTGTCATCAGCAGCCTGTACGGATCATCGGTGATTCGGCCATTGTCATTGACATGGCGTCTGCAAGGCCACGTGTTCACAGCGCCACGTTGGCCCCTCTGATCCACGACATTCGACTATATATCAATCAGCTCCGCCTAGTCCGGATTCGAGCGGTTCCGCGAACCTTTAACGTTGCAGCGGATGCCCTTTGCAATTGGATCATGGATCAGACCGAGACGCAGTCGTTAACTCGATCCACGCTGGATACCAGATCCCCGTTGACGGAACTTCAGTGGTCCGATCCGTTGGTCAAAGGTTGCCCCCCCCCCGTTGCACCAATCGATCTCCGCACCTATGACCGCCTTCAGTGGCAGTCACGTTGGTCGTTGGTACTGTTAGACTACGAACGCGTCCGCCACATCATTACCAACCGTTTCCTCCTACGCCACATTGGCGTACCCATTCGATCGCATCTCAGTGATGTCCCTCGGTCCACCGTGGACATGCTAGCCCGTACCGATACTTCTCGACGCCACGTTGGCGTACCGAATCGATCGCATCTAAGTGAGGACTCTCGGTCCACCGTGGACACCTTGGCCAGTTCCGATAATCCCCGACGCCACGTGGGCGTACCGAATCGATCGGATCTCAGTGATGACTCTCGGTCCACCGATACACACAGGCCCGTACTGAGCGGTCCCCGTTTGACACCGATATTCGCAGAGAATGCGTTGTTCGAGGCATTAAACGTTGTGTCCCGCTCGATGTGTTCCGGAAATTCCAGGCCGTGGCGTCCACGCATCGTCTATCGTTCCCGTTGAATCGCATTTTCCGCAACCCGACGGGGGATCGTCTCACTCTTCCGTTCGAGGATATCCGTTTCCTGTCCGCAGTCGTTCAGCTACCCCATATGGGTATTGAAGGGACACTCCGAGTGTTTCGAGGTCAGACCTCACGCGATGACCGCCCTAACAAGGCCCTACGACCTCGATTGTTCCGACAACACCTTGCCTCCTATGAGGCGCTCGAGCTCCTTTGCAGTATAGCTGAACACGGTGTGGTCCCTCGTTGGCGTCATTCGGTTGCCAGAGCTGGAGTGCGGCCGGTCCCACACAACTATCCCAGTGCAGTTACGGGGGCCACTGTCGTGACGCATCGATTGCTGAAGGACTACTACGCCGGGCGTTGTATCATTGCCACGATGGCCACTCTGACAGCGGAGCCGGGGTTCCACTCGAGTGCCTTTGCATGAGTTCCAAAAAAGGACGTCCCTTTATCCGAAGATGGGAGAATCATCCACGACTTATCCGCGCCCCAAGGACTTTCGGTCAACGACATTACGGACACGAGCCTGACACCAGACGCCCGTTGGGATCAATTCTGATGTATTGCCATACGCATCGTGGAACTCCGCACTCGGTATCCAGGATGCCGCATATACGCGCTCGTAGCAGATATCGCGGAAGCTTTCCATCACGTGCCGGTCCACGCTCATCATTCGTCCGCGTTTGGGGGGACCTTCCCACGTTCGCATATCGGCATCGTTTCCGGAATGGCGGTATTCGGGTGGACTGCGTCGCCGGGGTTCTTCGCCATCATGGGAAAGGCCACAAGGCACTACCAGCGCACAGGCGCATCGTACGTAAGCGGATACCCAGAACCGTTCTGGGTATTCCAATGGGTAGACGACATCGTCATCATCGAGGCCGATATCGGAGACCGACTTCTACAAGCAGAGCGTCGACTACGTAACGAAGTGAAACTCGTGTTTGGATCGGACGGTTGGCACGAAGGAAAGTTCAACACATGGTCCGAGCAAGTCCACGCAGTGGGAATCGACTGGAACATCCCCGAGGGAACGGTAACAATTCCACAGAGGAGGACGAAGAAGGTGGTGTCCGAGACGCTCGCCATGACGCTCGTATCTCAGAAACGTCTAGACAGTATCGTTGGTGTTCTTCGACATGTGATCACGTTCATACCAATAGCAAAGCCATTCATCCAATGCTTGGTTGCCGTGCAACTGAATACCAAGAGATCCGGTCGGACCGGAACACCAATGACAACGGAATTGAAGGCGGATCTAGAGTGGTGGAGAGATTTGGTATTCGAGAATCACTTCGCTGGAGTACCCATGACCATGTTCGACACCGAGCTACCCGAAGTAGACGGATGGGCGATATTCCACAACAACACGAACATAGTGGTGTTCGGCGTGACACCAAGACGAGTACAAACGTTCTCCGTGTTAGAACCCACACAAGCTTCGGACATCGCTTGGATAGTACTCCAACTGGTGGAACACTGGATTGCTATCGACACGACAGAGGAAGAATGGAGCCACATTCGGTTATACGTACAAAGCGGATGGGAGTTCAGACTCTTGAACACCATGAGCAGTAGAGACCCGGAAGCACAGCAGCATCTGAGAAGTCTGGCCCTCGCACAAGCGAGGAGACGGCTAAGGCTCTCAGTGAGCCGGATTTCGGATCGGACATCCGAAACGAAACCTTGTGACGTTCACTCACCTCCTCACGACACTAACTGTAGTTCCTTTCAGACAGACTGGACCGAGTCATGGAATCGACAACGAAACGCAAGAGAGCGTCTCTCAACAACGGATCGATACGAACGTACGAGAAGCGATTCAAGCATTGGGAAAGCTTTTGCAACGAATTCGGATTCCCCATCTGGATCGATAACCTCTCAAAAGAGAGGCAGGCCCGAATCGTCGGCCTGTTTGCCGGACTATGTGCGCTCGAAGGGCAAAACAATCGGAAGGAGGGCCACAAGTATCAGACCTTTGACGGAAAAATGGCAGCAGTGGCCTTTGCCCACAAAAGCGTGCGCAACGCACGCATCAATTACAAGACTCCGGAATTTGAGCTCATTGCTCGGGGCTATAAGCGCACCAACAGCAGTGTGGACCGGAAGCAACCAGTCACCACACCCTTGCTGCTCGAGGTGTATCGACAACTACAGAGTCAAGACGACCAAACAGATGGGGAAACGGACCTGCTGTGGGGTTCGATCATCCTCGGCTTTTTCTTCCTCGACCGAATCTCGGAGCTTTGGGGGCCCATAACCAAGAACGACCTCAACGGAGATACCTCTCATTGCGTGAAGCCAGTCGACGTTGTACTGCGCGACCGTTTCGGCCGAAGCACGGAGCCGGGGTCCGGAGACGTGACCTCAGTGGAAATTATCTACAGATCCCACAAGGGAGATCCGACTCGACAAGGAAACACAATCCGCCACTACCGCTCGGGGCTACCAGGACTATGCCCAGTGGAAGCTGCAGAATTATGCCTCCTCGTCAGGAGTCGCTGGTTGAACCAAGGCAGGCAACTCGCTAGCTTCCTAACGTCAGTGAGTCGGACCAAAACGATCAAGAAGACCACGGTGGCAAAAGCGATCAAGAAGGCCGCTAAGGCATCAGGAGCCGACCCACAGGAATACTCACTCCCTACGCATCGGCGGGGCATGTGCTCTTCTGGTGACCGGAAAAAGCGAGGTCGTTATCAAACTCATGGGACGGTGGTCAAGTTGGTGTTTCTCAGTGTACACTCGTCTCAGTCCCGGTATGCTGAAGGACGTTACACAGCACATGATTCGAGCGTCAACTTGGGAGTGCCCCGATCTATTCGACGTGCCACAGGGGGGTTTCGGAAGCCAAGCTTCACTAACTAATCAAGTGCGTGTCCCCATCCAACGGCCGTGATCGTATGCAACAAACGAAAGTGAACGGTTCGATTAACCGGTTCGGAGGACCGAGAAAGGCGAACCGGCTGTTTCCGATTTGGGGAGATCCACGGCATTCGTGGTTTCATCGAAGAAGAACGCAGGCGAGCACGGTGCTCAGGACTCGGAGTCCTCTCGGAGAAGAACGGGCCCGGCCCAACATTTTTTCTTCTTCTCAAAGTGGGCTTGTACCAGAGTGGGGATTAGTATTTGTCCCAAATGGGTTGGAATTTCCACAAAACCTCGGTTCTCCCATGGGTTATAGACTGTTTCCCACGGGTCCAGTTTACTCGAAATACTAGGTAAGAGGTGAACTGATTAGCTAGGTTTCGGAAGCCAAGCTTCACTAACTAATCAAGTGCGTGTCCCCATCCAACGGCCATGATCGTATGCAACAAAGGAAAGTGTACTGAGGCCTTAGTACAAAGAAAAGTAGGAACATGCTTGCGGACATGATGACGAAGACGCTGGGTGCGCCGAGAATGGGGGGGCGCTGCGCGAGTGGAACGGGTTATATTATAGAGACTGGAGCGATGTCCGTCGAAGGAGGATGTGAGAGCAGGATGCACGGCGCGGGTGGTGAGGCGGGGTGTTGAAAACCGGAGTTACTGTGGTCCAGTGTCTGAAGCTGGACCAGGGATTGGATGCACCTGCAGCTGCGTTCATCTGCATGCCCATGAGGCGAACTAGGCGTAGCTAGCTATGCTATCAAATCTTACTCTATATTTTGCGTTGTGACACTCAAGTGCGTGAAGTGCCGCCAATCAAGCATTAACAGGCTCCAGTCTAGAATTATGGAGCTAGTTTAGAAGCTTAAAGTCCCGGAATACTGGATTCAGGCAGATATTTGCCCAATCGATATGAAGCTCAGACCGAGAAAGTCGCTATCGCGCAGCGGATAGTCCAC